TTTGCAGATCTGAAAATCGACGTGGTCAGTTTCAGCGTCAGAGTCGACCAAAAATCGATCCTGACCGATCGATGATCAGCCCTAGATACAAGTAACAACTACTTCATTTTAAGAGTGGCTTGTAAAAGTTGCAATTGATTATTTCTTAAAAAAAAGGTTGCAATTGATATATTTTTTTTATAACTACGTGTGTTAAAAGGTTTAAATGCACCTCTTAGACTRTATTTAGTTATAAAAATTGTTACCAGTAATATTTGAAATAATTCCTTCATTTTTTTTTTAATTTTCTTTTAATACTTTTTTCACATGCCAAAATGATCATCCGGCGAACTCACGGTGAACTACAAAAGAAAGAAATCAGTAAATTCAGGAAAGCAACTTTTTTTTTTTCTTTTTAATCATTCTGTACAAATATACACCTAATTAATAAATTTTATTGAATTTTAAACATATAATTATTTAAAATGAAAGAAAAAGAAAGATTACGAAACCGAAATTACAAATAATTTTCAATGTGATAATTATGGCATATTGTGCACCAATTATTATCATTATTAGTAGTAAAGTAATATCCGGGAGGCAAAAATCTCTTAAATGTGTCTACAATCATGCTAGTAATATTTGCTTTGTTGACCTACCTTCACGCTCCGCAGTACAAATCTACCATCACCCGCAGGTGATGTAATCAAGTCTTCTTTTCCTCCCGCCAAAAATATTTTATAGTTCTAAAAAAAAAATATATACATTAAAACCTGTTTTGGTCTTTTGGCTTACATATTTATTCCCTTTTGAGTTTTAAAGTTGTAAATTACAATTTAATGTTTTGGTTTGCATACCACTTTGAATTATTTCTGCAAAGGACTTATTCTAATTACTATTATTAACTTTTTCTCATTCATTATTTAGCCGGAGTTAAGATGTCACTTTAAAATGTAATATAGAGCTAAGTTTATAATATATCTATTATCTTATTTTATTATTTCATTTTATGTTAGAAATATAATCGCTCGCTGGTCACCTCCACATTTGTTGAACAAATAAAAATACATACATAATTAAATTTTAATTCATAACGAGTAGCTTCAAATGTTGGTCTATGTAGATGTATACTCATGAGACAGATGAATAAAATATGAATATAACATACATTTAGGTTGACTAATTACAAATAACGATAATAATACAAAATGAAATTATTTTTTTATGTCAAGCTTGAGGTGAAATGATATATTTTCTGATGATTATAGACTTCTTATCTACTTTTTTTTTAGTACAACATATGGAGGGTGAGACATCGAACTCACAACCCATGGTGGGAGGTATATACTAATTACCGTTGAACTATACTTATTTTGACACTTATTATCTAATTATGCTTAAATGGAGGATATTGCATAAAAATGTTATGTAAAGCTAAAAATATCCGTCCTTTTATTAAAAAAAATCCTTCATTTTTCAAACAAGATGGTGTTGTTATTTTATTTTAATTTCATATTTTATTTGTCGTATTTACATTATGTGTTAATGAATTCAAACAATGTACGATATTGCCAAATTGACATAATTAGTACTCTCGAATGTCATAAAGTCAATCTTAATACGATAACATGTACCGTTTAATGACTATTAGAAGCATTGCATTAAATATCAGTAAAAATTACTAATAAAATTCAATAACAATAGAGCCATTTTTCCGGAGGACAAAGCAAATAAGGAGGAGGGACACTCGTTAAATAATAATAATAAAAAACCTAAAAAATTAAAAAAAAAACTTATTTACAATTTTCCCCCTCACACATTTTCAAAATTATATAATACATGTAACAAATTCAACCACAAAAATTTTCCTCTCTCCATGAAAATTTATCTCATATTTTTACCATTCCAATAATGAATATAATGAAATATTTATCATTGATCAACCCATAGTTAAGTTGGTAAATATCAAAATTTTAAATGTCGATGTTTCAATTTTATGAAAATGTTTATAGAAATATCGATAAAATATTGATATCGATGAATATTTTTAAAAAGGTTATACAAATAACAAAACTCGAAAAAAATTTAAATTAACAAATAATCATTTCACTATTTCTAAATACGTTAAAAATGATTAATATTAATATTATGTCTATATTAGTGAAATTTTGTTGATATTTTTTGTTATTTTCATTCAAGCGACTCAAGAGAAGAAGAATGAAACGAAGTGAGAGGCCGGAAGGCAGAGAAAAGAATCGAGTCGATCAGGCTCGACGATCGGGAAAAACAAAACGAAAGACGGATCGATGGGACATGGGAGCCTCAGCTCATGCATCGGTTTATCGAAATCACCTCCGTTATCTCTTGATAATATTTTTTATAACGTTATAGAAATATCGATTTACGTAATACGTGATTAAAGATACATGTTATAGAATAAAAGAATGAAATGTATTATTGTAATTAAAATGAAAAGAATAATGGTAGAAAAAAGAAAAGAAAATTAAAGAAAAAGGATTAGGGTGAAATGGACGGCATGTTTGGTAATTAAGTGCAAATTCAGCGGCATAAAATGAAAGAAATAAATCTGATTTGTTGGGAAAAAGACAAAAAGCAGGTCAGCGGCAACAAAAAGGTCGGCCCGCTAACACCACCTTTGCTGCCTTTGCAGCTTTTAATAGAAACAAAATTAATGTATTTTAACAAATTCGTTTACTTTTCTCTCCCTTTTATTTCACATCGCTTTTCTTTTTTCCGTAAAAATTTCACCCATTTATTTATTTATCATTTTCCATTACTATTTTACTTTTTTCTTTTCTCAAAGTCATCAATCAATACATTTTTTTCCCCTCACCCTCGGACGTGAAATTTTTCATTAACCGGATTGTAATTTATCGGGTTTAGCGTTTGATTATTAAAAAATAAAAATACAAAAAATATCTTGATCTTATAAAAATAATTATAATTATAATTTTCAATTTCAACTTTTTTTTTTTGTTTCTTTTTCTTTTCGAAAATTTATTTTGTTATTTACTTCGCTTTCCCTTTTGCTTTCTCAAGTGGTTTGTGTTTCAGACAGCTCTGGCCTGGAACCACTGGCCGGTCGTTACTTTCCGGCGGTTGTTATTTTCTCAGGAAACAAACAGATTTTTGTTCTTTCTTTCTTTCTTTCTGAAATCTAGCGACTGTTTCTTCTTCTTCTTCTTCCCCGATATCTCGGAAGAAGGCCTTGTTTTCCCCCCGTTTTTGTCCCTCACCGTAACCGGAAAAAGAAAAAAAAACTCCTCGCAGAAAACGGAGTCGTTTCGTGGCAGTGCAGTACTGTGGATTGGAAGGAAGTTATTTCTGTTCTAGGTCATGAATCGTGATCTTTTACTCAGTTTTCTGTTCATTTTCTGTCCGATTTCGCTTGTAAATTACTGTTTGCTTCGAAAACAAAGTCCCTCAAAGGTTCGTGAAAATGTCGAGTTTTAACTGATTATTTTGTTGCTTTGATTTTACTTTTTAAGTTGTTTTCTGGTTCAGTGTGAGAGTTTAGATCGTTGAACGGCGGCAAAAAGTTTTGGTCGAAATCGGCCGTGGATTTTTAAGTTTCTATTTGTTAGTAATATCGTGCATGATCTTGTTGTCGAGATTTAAGAGTAACTTCAATTTTTTTTTTTGTATTTTTTTCTCTCCCTTGTTCGCGTTGTTCATTGTGGAGCGAAGGAAATTTTTTTTTTTGTATGTTATTGTTCAGTTTTCAAAAGCGAGAAAGAAAAAACTGTTTGTTTAACAATTATTATTAATTTTAAATTCTTACTGATTAATCTTCTTCAAGCAGGAATGAGCATCTAAACCGTGCAAAAAGGGGAAAAAATTTCAAAGATTCGAAGTTCATAACGATGGAAGAGAGAGAAGCCATAAGTGGGGGAGTAACAGTGATAGGAGCCGAAGCCCCGTCGGCTTATCACGTGGCTCCGAGAACCGATAACCCGGCGCCGGCTGCCGGCGGCGGTTCGCCCACCGTCGCCGCCTCGCCGGTCAGCGTGGGGCTACCCGGGAGTGGGACCACGGGGAAAAAGAAGCGGGGGAGACCAAGAAAATACGGACCAGATGGAACGGTCACCATGGCATTGTCGCCATTGCCGCTTTCTTCCTCAGCTCCGGCGGCCGGCGGCTTCTCCATCACCAAGCGGGGGAAGGGCCGGCTCGGCGGCTCCGAGTACAAGCACCACAAGAAAATGGGAATGGAATATATAGGTAACGGGCAACCATAGCTTTTATTTTCAGTTGGGATTATTACAACTTTACAAATTAAGACTAACTTTTCAATAATCTTTGTTGGGGTTTCATCAAAATCTACAGTTTGCTTCTGTTTATATATAACAATCTAGTTGGGTTCGGATTCGGTTTTGTGGAAATTCTCTATGAATGAATATTATGAAGAATATATATAATATCTTCCCTTCAAAAAAGATTCCCATTTGAATTTTTGGCTTACAAAATTCACGTGGGACCTTGCTTGTTGGGAGATGTCCTTGTTCAACATGAGGTGTTGTACGGCTGCCTTTTACACTAAGATCTGACCTTTTGGGGGCTTAGAATATTCTTCTCATGTAGCCTTTTTTTTGTCTGTCACTTCCTTCAAATTCCTAAGAAAATTGCAATATATTTTTGGTTTTTGTTTTTTACTAATCTGTTTGTTCTCTGTAGATTCTTGATTTGAGAAGAGGTTTTCTGATTGTTTAAAGTCATAGATACTAAGTTAATGCTTAGCTATCGAGCTTTACTCCGAGTTGTTTGTGGCGTTACTTGTAATATAGTTGTAGATTCGAATCTTTGTGACACTAGCTGAAAGTTTTAGGGAAAAAAGGAAGTATTTCTGCTTTATGTCAAAGGCCAATCAGATTTGACTCTGTTGATAGTCACCAATTAGCTGGATTGATCAACCCGTTTTATAGGAACTTTTGATTTGAGTTATAATCAGTTTTAAACCCTGATTGGAGCTTAATAAACGACTTGTGTTATGCATTAAAACAGTAGTGATGTAATAAATTGCAGTGGGCTATACCCGGAAATAGAAAGGATCAAATTCAACGTAAAGTGTAGATTATATTAGTGAAAGATATAGTTCTAGTAGGTCAAACCCAATTTAAAGCTGTTTAAACATCTTCCTTTCTTAGAAGGTCATCAATATGCTAACTTTTTAGGTATTTATAGTTGGTCAAGTTCTTGAATCTTGTTTAAATTACTAAAATGTCCTTTTAGCTTTGCAAGATTGGTTTAAACGGTCGTCGAGTCGTGTCTCCAGCTATTTTTGGATTCTAGCATGTGTTCTACCTTTATTAACTGTTGATTTCTCTGTAAGATTGTTGTTAATTGGTGTACCTGCCAATTTAATATGTTGAATATTGTAAATATGGAAAATTCTGATGCTGCCGTTTGGTTCAATAGATTATAGAATTATGTATTATTGATACAGGGAGTGTTTTCACTTTCTTGTTATAAATATCTTCTAGCTAGAACTCTGGATTAAGTACTTTTGATTACATGGGAGAACCTGTTGAAGAAACTAGTTTTAGATCCCTTTTCGGAGTCCATTGCCTGAGATCTTGGCTACTAGGAGTGTAGGCAATTAGAGTTTTTATCATAGTCATTTATACTCGTTATGCCTTGTGGTTGTGGGTTCGAGCCTCCACCCCACACGTCGTTGTTGTTGTTTTTGTTTTTTTTAAATTCTTTATTAGTAGCTGACCTGAATAGGCTGTTATCTCTAGTTTGGGTGAGTAGGGTATTTCGTTTTCTAACTTCCTTTTATAAATTTTTCATTACTTTCGGTGACATTTTTGTATTCTACTAAGGGAAAAAGAGGGTTGGTTTAACCTATGCTCCAAAAACATGAAACCTTGAAACAGCATTAGAGCTCTTTAATTTCCCCACTTTATTGGCTTCCGACTGCTGGTATACTGAAATTATATTTATTCTCTTTATCAATTATTATTAGGTGAATGGAATGCGTGTGCTGTTGGTATGAATTTTATGCCCCATATCATCACGGTCAATGCTGGCGAGGTATGTTCGTTATAGAATAAAATGAATGTTTTGATGTTGATATTTGATATCTGCTTCATATCATTACTACATCTCTGGGCTCTTACCCTAACCCATTTTGGCGGTCTCATGACGAACTCTTGAGAATTCTAAGTTGTCGAAGTTCCAAGCCTTTTGATTCCCAGCTTGTAATTGAATTTTATTGTGATTAACAAGTTGAAGATATGGAGTGTGGTGAGAAGTTAAGTTTCTCAGCTAGTTTTGGATGAACTGGTAGAGTAATCCTTAAGTTCTTTCAATCTCTTTTTTCAGTGGTGGTAGGCTTAAAAGGTTATTTGAGAGTTGTTTTTATGGACAAAATTTTGTTTGACATGGGTTCTGTTATAGTTGCACTGATATCTCCTGAAATGATGTAGTTCAATATTCTCATGAATTGTTTTTTTCCCGCTGTAACATCTCGGCGGATGAGATACTTGAATAATGTAGTTTTTCTTCTTTTTTGGATCTTGGCCTGTCGAAAAAGGATGTCACTATGAAGATCATATCATTTTCCCAACAAGGTCCTCGAGCCATCTGCATTCTTTCTGCTAATGGAGTAATTTCTAATGTCACACTTAGGCAGCCCGATTCTTCGGGCGGTACTTTAACGTACGAGGTATGTCGATTAGTTTTCTTCTGAGCTCTTCAAATCTTTGAGAAGTGAAGGCCATTTTCTAGGAGGATAATGGAGGATGAAAAATAGGTAATTGAAGATAGTCTTAAATTGTTGCATATATGTACTGTCAGGGTCGTTTCGAGATACTTTCCTTGTCCGGATCATTCATGCCTACTGAAAATCAAGGAACGAGAAGCAGGTCAGGTGGGATGAGCGTCTCCCTGGCAAGCCCCGATGGTCGTGTCGTCGGGGGAGGGGTAGCTGGTTTACTCGTAGCAGCAGGCCCTGTTCAGGTATCAAACTCTTTTTAACCGAACTTTGAAGATGTAAAACTTGTTGCATTTCCATGCAATGCTTATCTTTAACTTTCCTCTAAATTAGGTTGTGATAGGGAGTTTTCTACCAACTAGCCAACAGGAGCATAAGGTAAAGAAACAGAAGCCTGATACGGTACCAGCTACAGCACCTGTTGCAGTCCCAAGCACGACACCAGCCACCACTGCACCGACTTCCAATGCCGATACAGATGACAGTATGAACGGAAACGGGCTGCAAAATACCAGCTCCCTCAAACCAGCTACTTTCGCTTCTTCGACTTTCCAAAGAGACAACTGGGGTGCGAACTCTGCTGTTCATTCCTTGCAGGAGCCGAGAAATTCCGCAACCGACATCAATATATCGCTACCGGGCTAATCTAATTAGTTGCTTACCAAAGAATGCATCAGATAATCTCCTGCTGACCAACATTGATCTGATCTGATTTGATCTAGGCTTCTTTCTGATTGCTCTTACCAAAATTACCATTTGAAATTTGACTATGAGATCCATCACCACAGGCAGAATTAGGGGAAGTTTTTCGTTATCAACTTTCCATTGTTAGATTCACAAATTTTTCTTAATCATGATTAATTAGGACATGTCTGATTTAGTTTGGATTTTCTGCTGTACCTGTTATTAGGATGTTGATGTTGGATGTAATGAATGAATGACCTCTGGGTTTTTGAATTTTTTTGTTTTGTTTTGATTATGCTGTCTGAAGTTAATGCTGCAGATTTTGTCTGGAAATGCCAGCTTGTTTCTGTTTCTCTCTTACATATTTCCTAAAGTGTATTTCAAACCCTTTTCTGAAGCCTTTCTTTATCTCCTGTTTTTTCTTGTGATTTAAGCAGGCCAATGATGTCACAAGAACAGTAGGGTTTTCCTTTAATAGCAAATTGATGGGCTTCCACGTGATCATCTTCTTTTCTTTTTCCTCTCTTTTTTAGTCAAAAAACTATCTTCAGATAATTGCTTTAATTTTAATTTAATTATTGTACTTTTTTAAGTTTTATAGCCGTCATTATTATTATTTAAGCAAAAGATATCAATAATCTATAATGGCAGGTTGTTCATGTTTGTACTCCAAAACGAGTTACATAAATTCATTGGTCACTCTTGGTTGGACTTTAAGGTAATATTAGATTTTTTAATGTCAAATAATGTCTTAACATATCTCTTACGAGATTCGAATCATCAGTTCCACGTATTGTTGACCTAAAAATAATAAAAGAAGTTAATTTGGAACTAAAGTTGCACGAAGATTAAAATTTTAGTTCCATATTAAAAAAAAAAAAACATACCAGAGATCTCATATGTATTTGAGAAAGAGTATCGGATATCACATATCAAATACACCTGTTCCGACTTGTCCTATCTTAGAAAATGAAATCATTGGAAAAAAAAAATATGCACGAATGAGATATGAGTTTTCTTACCGCTTGATTTGCTTAGGCTTAGGGAGAAAGGTGCATCTTAGTCTGAGTAAGGGGTTCTAAACCTTGCTTTTCTCTACAATTGAAAATATCTTATCTATCTCAATAATGCATAATTTTCCAATCCTCTTTAGGATGATATAGGCTAGTTGTCATAAAGACTTTCATAAGTACATTTAAAATATTAATCTAATTACAACTCAACTGATTAAGACATATATTATTGAAGATTCAAAATCTTATTCCACATGGCGTTCACCTCAAAAAAAAAAAAAAAGAAGGGCATTTGAAATATTTTTTTATTGAAAAACAGGAAATTGGTTGGCGATCTTATTTTATTTATTTAGTAAAACCACAAATTCACACAAAAATTCGTTATCCAAGCCTCTAAAAAATTGGGCTGTATCATGTGACGAGGGAACTACTCAGATTTGTTGGACCGGCCCATAAGTATCGGTGGGCTGGGCCGCTCCAATCAAAACCCAAACGCTGTCGTTTCGAACCTTCAGTTCCATTTCATCTTTTTTTCTTGAGCGAAAAGACACCGTGAGATCTAAAGAAAAGAAGAAGCGAGGAAGCTAAAACCAGAGCTAAGTTTTTAAGCCTTCGCTTTGCCAAGTTCCTCTTCCCTCACACGCCTTCGCTTTCATCTGCCCTATTCGCCATGACGAAGCAGCACGCCAACTGGTCCCCTTACGACAACAATGGCGGGTACTTTCTCTATCTCTCTCACTCTCTATCCAGTGTTTGGATTGTTTTATCATCTGTCGCAGTGGTGAACGAGTGAGAAACTTTTGCAGATCGTGTGTTGCGATTGCCGGTGCCGATTATTGCGTAATCGCCGCCGATACTCGGATGTCTACGGGTTACAATATCCTTACTCGCGATTACTCCAAAATTTGCAAGCTGTACGTCAACCCCTTGTCGAATTTAACGTTCTTTTTGGAATTTGAATTTTGTTTGATGTCTTAAGTTCCGAATCCTCTGGTTTGATGATGTTATCTTTCTCGTGTATGTTAGATATTTTTTTCTCCTGGAAATCAAATTGGGCTTTAGATTTTTATGGTTATTACTTGGGGATAGACTTCTGGCCTTTAGACTTGTAAATGAAATGAGCGGTAACTTACTTGAAGGTTGTGCATTGGTGTAGATGAACGATAGCTTGATCAGCTTATGAATGAAATTGGTGCCAACTTAATTTTCAGCTGTGCAACTTGAAAATTTGGTTGTTTTGTGCCTTTTTTTTTTGGCAAGGTTTCAGTTGTACCTCAAAATGGGATTTGGGAATTGTGCCCTGCACTACTGCTTCCTTAGACGGTATTAGTGAGATGTTATGCTAGTAATGGAAATGAATTCATTTAGGAGAGATGGATCTGTCGGACGCTGAATTTGTACTTTGTGATTTTTTATGTTTTATTGAAACCTGTTGGTGAATGGCCAAAGTCAGCATAGCTCGGTGGTAATTGATCCTTTGCAGAAAAAAGAAACCTGTTGGTGAATGACTTAGAGATAAATGGTACTGTTCATCATAGCTTGAGTTCAAGGAGCTAATTGGTTTTTGAGACTCCTATATGTGGAAGAGAACCTCCTATTTTGATTAAAAGGAAAAAGGCAATAATTTCTCAACTTGGAATGTGTTTTTGGATTCTTTTGAGCAGACAGATTACTAAATTTAGCATGTTATTCTAGTTTTGTATTATTTTGTTATGTTATGCCATTGTTATACGATTTGCTCAACTTGGTCATGAAAGATTTCCTCATTTTGTTGTCATACTTCATCTAATATAAGTTCTTGATCGTGCTAATTCCACGACAAGAGGGTCACATTATGCATGGCCGTTTCTGTGGTTGAGAGGTTACGAGTAACTTCATGCACCTTATAGCTAAGTAATCCACACACATGTGCTTACGTTTTACCACTGCACTTGTTTATGTTTCCTGATTTTTTAGGGCTGATAAAGCTGTGATGGCCTCTTCTGGTTTTCAAGCTGATGTGAAAGCTCTACAAAAGGTTTTGGCGGCTAGGCATTTGGTGAGACTTTTATCTTAATAAACATGCCTTTTTAGGTTGAGTTTTCAGTGCACCTAATTGTGCTTATTTTATGTGAGTTTGATATTGTGTTGGCCACTCGTTTTAACTCGAGGTGTGATCCCTTCAATGACATGACTCCATTAAGTGATATCTGTTTTTGTTGGTAAGCTTGTATTAGACTTGGATTTATTGCACATGCACTGCACTTGTTATTTTTGTTGCTGCGTTCCTTAAAATTGGGGCAGCAGGTTTCTGCGATTATCCATACCCACTCTTCCCCAAGTATAATGGTGTTTTGTTCCTCGTCTTTCATTTATTGTCAAAATATTCACTTACATTTTTTTCAGTGCAGACTGTGATGATTTGATCTTCTAATGGTTGTAGGAGCCAAGAGGCCGAACCTTCTTTTTCTGATTTTTTTTTTTAATTTTCTAATGTTGGATTACCTTTTGTTCTTAACTGCCTTCATTTGGATTTTGTACCCTTTATCCAAGTCTTTTACGAATAAACTAATTTTGTTAATAATATTTTCTCTTTTTTAAAAAATATTACAACGATCACTTCGAAAGTCAAATTGAACTTAATGATGTGTTTGGGTTCTTCAGTATATACCTCAAGGGTATTGTTGTTCAACAAGAAAATTTTTCTTTAGAAGAAAAAGATGTATCTATATCCCTTCTTTAAACAAGCAATTTTCTGTTCTAAATCTCTGGTGCTATTCTTTTAATTATTAATTCGACATCCGTTCTTAGTAGGGAAAACTGAAAAGTTATTACTTTGGCTCTCAATTGCACAAATTTTTGGGGTAGCCAATGGACAAGGGATCTTGTCAACTTTTTTTGTTCCAGATTTATTAGGTTATGTTATAGACATAAGATTTGTGGTCGAAGGTCTGAAATTTGATTCATTATTAACCGATTCGTTCTCAGACCTACCAACATCAGCACAACAAGCAAATGAGCTGCCCTGCCATGGCTCAACTACTCTCAAACACATTGTACTACAAGCGATTCTTTCCGTATTATGCTTTTAACGTTTTGGGCGGACTTGATAATGAAGGTACATGACTTCCCTGCTAGTGGTTCCATTTTTATGCCTCACTTTCCCATTAACTATCAGTTATTTTCTTCTTCAAATAGGAAAGGGCTGTGTGTTCACCTATGATGCTGTTGGTTCTTATGAGAGAGTCGGATACAGCGCCCAGGGTTCTGGTTCCACCCTCATTACTCCCTTTTTGGATAACCAGCTTAAGTCTCCCAGCCCTCTATTATTGCCTGCACAGGTATGATCTTACCCTTTCTTCTGGGTGAAAGCGGGTCGGTTTTTTGTTGAACTGGCGTCAATGGTGAAATTGGGTCCAAGTCGAACCATTGTTAACTGAAAATGCTCTATTAGGCGATAAAGAGCCAAAAGATAATGAACCTATTCAATTGAAAGGTCTAATCTCTCCCTAAATACGCGATTCCCGTACTCCTGACAATGCTCCTCTGATTCAATTTGGTTGGCTTGGTTTTTCGGTTTTGGCGTGTATGCCTATTTGCTTCTCTTTGGTATCTATTTCTTTCTCGGTTAACACATTATGATGAACAGGATGCTGCAACGCCACTTTCAGAAGCCGAAGCAATTGACCTGGTGAAAACCGTTTTTGCATCTGCAACTGAGAGGGATATCTACACTGTAATTCCCTTCTAATATTTACATACCCCTATCTTCAGTAGGTTTCTGTATGGATCCAACTCTGAAATTTCACGTGTAATTGACAGGGCGACAAACTCGAAATCGTTGTTCTTAATGCTGATGGTCTTCGTCGTGAATACATGGATCTCCGAAAAGATTAGTTTGATGCTGGCTTGATAGATCCGATGTTGCTTCAACCGTATGAACTGCGCCACGGGCGGTACTTGTCCCAGAGACTATTGCATTGTGATATTTACGGATGGTTAAGTTTTAGTTTTCTCTGTAATATGAACTCCATTTCCAAATTAAAATCTCTGTTGTGAACATGGGATTGTACTGAAATCTACATGGCTGATGTTGATCGATCTCCCTTTTACTGCTACCGTTGTCTTTTCAGAATCTTTTAGTATAAATTTTAGATTAAATTAACGAAAAAAGAAAAACTCTGGGATTTTGTTATTTGTTTCAACAATATCTCATCTTTTTTTCTTTAATCCTTCGTAAATATTTCAAAAATACATTTTGAGCAAATATTTGATCGAAAAATTGATTGTCATGTTGTTTTAAATTATGTTATGTCAATCTTCTCGATAAATCTTAGACTTTTTTCTAATTACATGTCATTATTATTTTAATTTTGAGAAGAAACGATGGTAAATGTACATTATTATTGTTTAAGCTGAATTCTAAATGGTCCGAGCTACGCAATAAATCCTCCCCACAATAAACAAATATTCTAATGTTCAAGTCTGACTAATACTAAAATTATCAAGTTGGAGGTCCCATTATCGATGTTTCTATTTTACCCCAAACATTATTACTATTTTTATTATTATTTAAAATGTCCTACTTTTGAAGTAATTGATTTTATTAGAACAAAAAATATCTATTACATATAATTAGAATAAACTGAGAAAAATGAGCGAAATTTTTCCTTCCTTGCATATTTTTACGATGGGGGCGAAAAGTGAAAAAGAAAGAAGAGGAGGGGGAATCGAACGAACGATCCAATTTTAATTATTTAAATTAGTCTACGCCTCTGCCTCTGCCTCTGCTCCATTTTCAAGCTTCTGCACCAAGCTTCTCTGCAGCTGCACTTCTCTCTTCAATGGCTCGCAACAGGGTAAATTATTTAATCTCTTCTGCTTCTGCTTCGATCTTCGGATTTCGATTTCTTTTTCCGCTACAAACCGAACTAGTTTCTGTAAAGCTCGGTCTCGGTACTGGAATCGTTCAGAATGCCGAGTCTTTCCTTTTGAAGAAGTTAAGTTCTATTTTGCTCCATACTTGAGCTAGTGTGATTGTAATTTTACGCTAGGGTTTAAGTTTTCTTGTCTAAGGCGTTGATCACGATTGCCATTAATGTCGAGAACTTGGTGGAAAAAAATTGCAATCACTTCCAATGTTTAATGAAATCTTCGGTGCTTCGTCCACCAGAAGCTCTGAAAGACAATATTAAGGTTTTAAGTTCTGTAAGAGGGTAGCTCCTTGCGGGTGTCGAAAGAATGCTTTCTAAGTTAGAATTGTTGTGTTATTTTTAACATATGCAAATGTAATACACTCATTTTTATTTTATCTACATATTTCTTACACTCGAGGATTCGTGTTATATGGAATAGGAAATCTTGGTGCTGGTGCTGGATGTTGGTCCATCAATGCACTCAATTCTGCCTGAGGTTGAAAAAGTGTGTTCAATGCTAGTAGAGAAGAAGGTATTACCGTTGACAATTTTCTTTAGAAGTTATGTATGCTTGTTTGATAACCATTTTGTTTTTGAAAATTAAGTTTGTTAACGTTAATTAATCCATGTATTTATTTATCTTGCTACCTACTTTTTAAAAATGTTTTCAAAATATAAGCCAAAATTTGAAAACAAAAAAAATTAGTTTTCAAAAGCTTGTTATTGTTTTTGAAATTTAGCTAAGAATTCAAATGTATTTGAGATTAGGAGCAACCGAGCGTAACTTTCAAAAACAGAAAACAGAAGACGAAATGGTCATCAAATGTGGCCATAATTACTAGCTTATATTTTTTATTTTCCTTCTATGGAGAAGCTTGTTAAACAAAAATTTTTTGATTTATCAGAAATTCAGAATATGTTCTCTGAAACTATTTAAATTTATCCCCTCTCGTGATGCAGCTGATTTACAACAAATATGATGAAGTAGGAATTGTTCTATTTGGAACTGAAGGTCTCTCCCTCCTTCCTTCCTTCCTTCCTTCTTTTACTTTTAATTTGTATTTTTGTATTTTTGTATTTTTTATTGTTTAATTTTTAATTTTTTATGGTGCTTGTCCATCTTCGTTTTCTTTTGTTTCTAATAGTTTTTGCATTCTCTTAATCTTCATTAGCAGACATGTTCTTGTATTTACAAATTTTTTACCTACGCAATGAAATTTGCAGACACTAAAAATGAGCTAACAGAAGAAGTTGGTGGATATCAGCATGTGGTGGTTCTACAGAACATGAAAGTCGTCGATGGAGATCTTGTCGATGTTTTAAAACAGCTCCCTCGGGGGACTGTTTCCGGTGATTGTATCCAATTTTTTCAATTGAGTTCTTTGCTCTTTCGTTATGATGGAGGATTATGTTTTGCTTTCTATTGTAGTATTTTTTTTCTCAAATAATAAATATTTTACAATTTGCATGCTGCTTGAAACTGTAAACTCTTTGTTTCTGCATATTGGCTATTTTTTTTGTGTCACAACCAATAGCCTAATTGTCCGGCATTAAATGTATCTTATACTTTAATAAATTAATTAATTTTTGTATTTGTACATTACTAATTAATTAATTAATTTTTGTACTTGTACATTACTTTGCAGATTGCAAGTTTCCATTCATCATCAAAGGCTCCTTCCGATATTAGTATTCGGACATTTACATTTTCATAACAAATGATTCTGCTTTAGTTTGCTGCACGATGATGGCTAAAATAATGTTATTTGTGGTTAGATTAAGTGTCTAATTTTCTCTTCTTTGGTACCTTGACATCGTCGGTAGTTCTTGACGCCATAATTGTAGGAATGGATATGCTGATAAAGAAATTTGGAGAGACAGAGAAGGGAAAGAAACGCTTGTGTCTTATTACAGATGCTCTATTCCCTATAAAGGATCCTTATGAAGGAACCAAAGAGGATCAAGTTACGACCATTGCGCAACAGATGACGAAACATGGAATGAGAATGGATAGTGTTGTTGTAAGAGGGAGGTTTGGACATGATGCCGATGAGAAAATTATGGATGAGAATGACGTTCTCTTAAACATATTTTCTGAGAAAACAAATGCAAAAATGGTGTATGTAGAGAGTCCAACTTCATTACTAGGTGCGATTCGGACACGGAGTATAGCGCCCGTGACAATCTTTAGAGGTGTTCTTGAGATAAGCTCCATTATCAAGATTAAGGTGAAGTATTTGGTCTCTTATGTCACTTATGCCGAGCATTTTCAGTGATGTTCTTATCGTAAAAATTGTGGGTAGCTCCTATCTTTTTCACACATTATAGCTATCATTTATCAACATTAATGCTCTAAATTCTAATATATCAGGTATGGGTTTACAAGAAAACATCAGAAGAGAAGTTTCCAACTCTGAAAAGATATTCTGATAAAGCACCTCCAACTGATAAATTTGCCACACATGAAGTCAAGGTAGATTACGAGTACAAAAGTGCGGAAGATCCTAGTAAGGTTGTGCCTCCAGAACATAGGATTAAAGGTTACCGGTATGGACCTCAAGTGGTTCCGATATCAACTGCTGAATGGGATGCAGTAAAGTTCAAACCAGAGAAGAGCGTGAAGCTTCTCGGGTTTACAAACGCTTCAAATATATTGCGGTAGATTCTATCTGTTTCAAAATTTTTACCTTTCATGTAATAGAAACTTTCTATGAAAGCTCTTAACTTGTGTTTTGAACTCTCCTGGTTTGCTTACATTTTTTGCAGGCACTACTACATGAAAGATGTCAATGTCTTTATCGCTGAACCTAGCAATAAAAGAGCTATTGTTGCAGTTTCTGCTCTAGCAAGAGCAATGAAGGAAATGGACAAAGTGGCAATAGTTCGATGTGTTTGGCGACAAGGACAGGGGAGCGTGGTTGTCGGTGTTTTGACACCCAATATATCGGAGAAGGACGGTATTGTATGTGTAATTTGTAAATACATTTTTGCACTGCCCTCTTGAACAGTCTTATTTTTGTTGTTATATGTTTAACTTTACACATTAACTTGCTTCATTGCTGATCGTTTTTGGTAGGCTGATTCATTATACTTCAATGTACTTCCTTTTGCGGAGGATGTTCGAGAATTCCAATTTTCTTCTTTCAGCAATTTTCCAGCATCGATGCAGCCAAGCGAAGAACAGCAAGAGGCAGCAGATGACTTGGTTAAGATGCTTGATCTTGCACCATCTGGACGGGAGGAAATTTTGCAGCCGGATTTCACACCAAATCCTGTTCTCGAGGTACACCTTTATGATTTTTCAAACATTTAGATACTCTGAAAGCACCATTTTACTCTGTTAGATTGACAGGATTCCGGGGATTTCTAGCTTGGTTTACCCTTGAATTGTACGTATTTAATTTTGAATTATGAAAGTTAGCAAGTTGGTTCAGATTGCTTTTGACCAAAAACGAACCAAAAAAACATATCGGTAGGGGGGGAGTATATATATACCGACTTCCTGATTCAAACTAATTAAACTGATTCAAACCGATAAAATCGAACCAAACTTGCCAAAACTGATAAATCGAAACCAAAACAATCCTACTATTTTGTTGGTTTTTTCATTTTTGACTAACAGCTCAGGTTATAACCATGGTTTGATGGTTGTGAAAAGATTGCTCTGAAATTCGTTGGATGTTGAATACAGCTATCATACTCTTCATTATGGACTATCTAATTAACGATGATATCTTCTGTTGGCAGCGCTTCTATCGTCATCTCGAGTTGAAGTCGAAGGATCCTGATGCTGCTGTACCTCCACTTGATGTAACTCTTCAGAAGATTACCGAACCCGATCCTGACTTGTTTTCTCAAATCAAATCTATTATCGACACATTCCACAGGAGATTTGAACTCAAGGAGAACCCAAAGGTTATTGTTCATCGACAACTTTGTATTTGATAACCGATACATTTGTATTATCCTGCATGCCTTGTCTTGCAGCACATAATAAGTTCCGAATATGATGTAAAATGCAGCTAAAGAAATCAAGAAGGCGATTTTTACGCGAAAAACCATCCGGTTCAAGCGAGAAAGAGGACAATGAAGACATTCCTGCTCAAATTGTTGACTCTGCTGCCAATCCGTCTGCAGTTAAGGTAGAAAAAATTGGAGATTCAACTCCTCTCCAAGACTTTGAAGCTATGATGTCTAGAAGAGATAGTCCAGAGTGGATCAGCAAAGCAATCAACGGTATGAAAAACAAAATATTCGATCTTGTCGAGAACTCATGCGACGGTGATAACTATCCAAAAGCTCTAGAATATTTGCTTGCGCTTCGTAAGGGTTGCATCATCGAACAAGTAAGTCACTCTCTCCATCTCTCCCTACGTACCTCTTTTTCATGCTCGAGAATAAAACCGCTCATGTTTTCTGCAGGAACCGAAGCAATTCAACGATTTCCTCCACCATCTCTGTAAATTCTGCCTGAAGAATAACCTGCACAGCTTCTGTGAATTCCTAGCATCCAAACAACTTACTTTAATCTCCAAGGTGGAAGCAGTAGACAGGTTTGATATTCTTCTTCCCTGTTTTTAAACTGTCCTGAAACTCTTCTCCACATTTCGTTCTTGTTATGGAAAAACTCTCAGTTTAATTTTTATATTTGTGTTCTGAGCAGTGAAGTAGCAGATGACGAAGCTAGAAACTTTTTGGTTAAATTGGAGCCTAAATTAGAGCCTAAAGTGGAGGGAGCCTAAATTAGAGCAAGACTATATGATGCAGCCTTTTCTTTTTTTTTTTTGGGTTCCAACGACTACGAGCAGTGATTCGAATTCTGACGTTTTGGTCAAGTAAGTCTAGATGATGTAGCGACTTGATATTCATTAGGTGTATATATGTAATTTTGTGTATCCATCCAAGGTTGGGGCTCCACCAGCCCCTGCGCTCGTGCAACCCACGCCCACCAGCGCCACCCCACACGTGTAGACCGACGCCCACCAGTCTCTCTGCCCGCGTGCGCGCAATGCCCCTTGCCCCACCTTTTTTACTACTAATGTTCATCAAAGGAATTATAGAGGATGYAAATTATTGATTTGAATTTTATGCTGATCTGTTTACATTTTTGTTTAGAAAGTAATCTTTATTATGCTATTTTTTTCCCCTTTATTTTGGTCTGGAGAATTTTATGTTAGAAAATTTCTAAGTTCATTTTTGTATGATATTTATGGCCAGCAGTATGTGAGTATAATTCAATTAGCTAAGACATGAAAATTATTATACGAGGTTGATACGATATGTCTATTTATTTATTATTATTATTTATTGTTGGATGTAAATTCAAAATATACCTACTTTACTCTGTATAGATTTGAAATGTTTTACAATTTCTCTCTTATATATTCTGCGTAAAATTACCGATTTACCCTTCACATCTTGGATATAGATTTGGAATATTTTACAATTTCTTTCTTATATACTTTTAATAGTGTAATATTACTAGTCACATCTCACTTAGTCAGAATTAACTCCAATAATTTTTTGGTGCAAATAACATATTGTTATTATTTTGTTGTTGTGTCCATTAAAAAAATTATAAAAGATGCAAATAATTGTGCAGCTTAATCATTTTCCTTCCGTGGCCTCATTGGAGCAAGAGGAAACATACAGAAACCGCATAATATCTAATATTACTTATTGTAATTACATAATATATTACACTAAAGTAGAAACTTATCCTGACCAAAAATATATTTTATCCTATATTAAAAATTTATTTTAAGACTATTCTACTTCAGCTTTTACAATTTGATTAAAATAATTAGAAAAATGCTTCTAAAATAGAAAAAGAAAATTAATAAAGGTCATCTAAGATGCATGACATCTTTTTTTCTTTTCTCCAAATATTTAAAACTTTCGGACTCGGTTATTTTTTTCTTTCTCGCTCGTCTCTTCTCTCTCATCTCAATATATAAATAGAAATTCAGCGCACCAGTCTTTTAAACATTAACTGCCTTGGTTCCACTTCAAGAAGCGTCGCGGGCAGCTGCTTCTCGCGTTGACGGCCATGTACTCCGAAGCTCAAGCTCAGGTACCTTCACTCTCTCGAGCGTGTGCGGTTTTCTTGAAAATCGTTTAATCTGAAGATAATTGCGGAGAGACTGATTCATTTTCTCACTCGAAATCATTAGGAAATGTAGTAAGATGTTGATCGTGCATCTGTTTTTGTTGTAGCAGAAAAGCTCTGACGATTCGTCGACGTCTTCGAAGCTGGTTCTTTATTCTTTCTGGCAGAGCTCCTGCTCGTGGCGTGTTCGCTTTGCGTTGAATCTCAAAGGTATTTCTTCTTCTTTGAGTTTATTGGGAAAATTTTCTTCGATTTTGAAGTACGGATGAATTGGAGTCTGATTTGTCGTAGAACGCTTAGTAATCTTGTTTTAGTTGAGTCTAATTAGCTGACGCGAGGATTGTGATAGTAAATCAAATGAATGAAGAATTCGAGTTTGAATTTCTGTTACTCTCGGTTGTCCTATGAAGATTGTGATAGTAAATAAAACGAATGAAGAGTTGGAGTTTGAAGTACCGAAGATCAGTTCGAGTTTCACTTGTCGCAAAACGCACAATAATCTTGTGTAAATTGATTCTAAGCTGACACGAAGATTGTGATGATAGATCAAGCGAATGAAAGTTGTGGAACTTGATCCTTTTTTTTAACAGATGTTTTACGATTGTTGCTTAGGGCTTTCTTACGAGTACAGAGCAGTAAACCTTGGGAGAGGAGAACACTTAAGTCCAGGTAAATCTCTAGATTGATGTGTGTTTGTGCTAATTTATAGAATCAAAAAAAGGCTGAACAACTTTCTGCTTCCGAGATGCAGATTTTGAGCGCCTAAATCCACTTAAATATGTTCCTATATTAGTAGATGGTCCAGTGGTAGTTTCGGACTCTTACGCGATATTTCTGGTAAGGTTTAAAGAAAAGGGAGATGAGTCAGTTCAAGTCTGTGACGAAGAACAACGAACTTCTGAATTGGCCGTAGTGGCCTGGCAAATGCCTATTCAGAAGATTTTTTATTCTCACGGACTTGAATCTACGAGTTATTCTTTTCTCATGCCCAAGTTTTGATCCCCTGTTGCTCTTATCATAAATTGTCCTTGTAACATCATTGCAATTTTATTGCTATTCTTTAGTATTTGGAAGAGAAGTATCCACAGAAGGCGCTGCTGCCTGCTGATCTTCATTCAAAATGTCTGAATCTGCAAGTAAGATCAGTAGTGGTTAGCTACAAATCGAGAGGTTTAAAAGAGCTCTCTCGATCTATAAAAATGTCTTTCTAGCATTAAACTTCTCGTTCTTACTGTACTCCGATCCTGCATGTCTACAGTTTATTTTTAATATGTGCTTCTCCACATTATCAAGTCCACTGGCTGTATTAAAATTTTGAGGAACATTAAATTTTTCATCGCATATATGATATGAGATCCTAATTTCTATGTTTTGAGTCCATACGGAAGACATAGTTCGAACGGCATTGGATTATGCTTGCATCAGTTAGATGGTTACTTTTAGTTTGTAATCTGTTTACACAAGAGCCTTATTTTTATCTCTTTTGAAAATTGAGCAGCAAAATCTGGTATTCTGTGCCAACAAAAATTCATTAGTAACATAGTTTGGTTAAATGTGTTTCAATATGTTGATAGAGAAATTATTTTGCAGGTGGCAAGTATCGTCAGCTCAAGCATACAACCTCTTCAAATGATAGGACTGCTGGTAGATTTTGTCTGCATGTGATTTATTTGCACTTTGTGTGTTTCCCATGTATCTGAATTTAATGTTCAAATTATTTTTAGAAAACTATGGAGGAAAAATTTGGTCTAGAAGAACAACTACCATGGGCTCAGTCTAATATAGAAAAAGGTTTCAAGGGTAAGTTTGTGGAAGTTTATTTCGTGAAGTTCTTCGGTGTTCATTGTCGTAATTATGCGTGGAAACAATATACCGTTCAAAGGAATATTGAGTACACTATACAGTAACACTGCTCGTGGCACTGAATCAATATTAGAAAGTGCAATCCAGCAATTGTAATGGTTCTCAATTTTGCATCTGTTGTGTATTACAGCTCTTGAGAAACTACTGCAGGGCTTTTCTGGCCGATATGCCTTTGGAGATGAAGTATATATGGTATGTTTCAGAATATTCTCGATCCTATTGCTACGGATAATGATTTAGATTTCATCTTTTTTTAGTACAACAAATACGGAGACGAGGGATTGAACCTCCATCCTCCAGGAGATGAATAAGGTTCCAACCATTGAGCTAAGCTTATGTTGGCGATTCTCCATCTTATTTTAGAATTAAGTTTTACACGTGTAATTTTCCTAATTTGTTATACCTTTTTTGGAATTTTCATCATCATGGTTTTAATCTTGTCTTGCCACATGCAGGGTGATGTATTTTTGGCCCCTCAGATTTCAGTTGCTATTGGGAGGTACAACATTGACATGGTATCGTATTTTCTCCACAATTATGACATTCTGTTTTAACTGCACACCTTTCTTTTAAAGCCTGGCATAGACTATGCAATGTTTCTTTAAAAAAAATAGAGAATACGGATTGCCTGCAGCTGGGGCACCCCTTTTTAAATGACTAAATTACCAAGTAATTTCATGAGATTAAGATTACGAAATTTACTAATTAGTTTTTGTAAGAAAAAAACCACTTAAACCATATTATTTTCCTATCAAGTTTTTGAAAATTTTCAATTACCTTTATAAAAAAAAATGAAGAAACAAAGCACCAAGCACATTGTTTGTTAATTAAAACAATTTGATAGCACCTTCTCGGCACAGAGGTATTAGAGGTTGAAAATTTGAAGTTCTAATATAAATTTTCTTGTGTGCGCTTTGCAGAAATCGTTAGGTATGTAAATTGTAATGTAACCACCTCCATCTCTAGATGTAACTTAGTTTCGAGCCAACATGAACTTAGCTCAACGGTATTGACACCTATCTCACAACCATTTCGAATCCCCCTATCCCACTTGTACTAAAAAAACAAAAACAAAAGCAAACTTTGTTTCCAAATATTAATATCTTAGCTGGGCCTTGCATTTGCAGCCACACATGCATTTACACTTTCTTTCCATTCTCTCTCCCGTATAACAAATTTCCGCTGTTCCATGCTGCAGTCCAAGTTTCCTGTTCTAGCGAGGATTTACGAAGCTTACAAGACGTTACCGGAATTCCAAGCCTCGTCACCAGAAAGGCAACCCGACGCCTTTCATTAGGTGACTTGTTGTCTCAATATTTTACTAATACATCACAACTTCCACTTCATATTAGTTCCTTGCGTGAAATAAATGGACGGAGAAAGGAAAGAGAAAAAAAAAACATTTCTTAATTATTGAGCACTAATATTTTATCTGTTCTTCCAACAAGATATAAAGAGCTGTCAATACGAAGATGAACTCAACATGATGACTAAATTTATTGATGCTTCCGTGAACTTAATTTTTCTCCAAGTCTCTCCCATTTCCATTTAACTTCCTTTTGGATCTCTAGTGTTTATTAAAATTTGTAAAAATCTCTTTTAGGAGGTAATTGGTGACGAAAGATTTAACTTCTTGATGTAGTAGGAAATGCGACTCTGGTATCAACAGCCCGTCTAGCTCAGTTGGTAGAGCGCAAGGCTCTTAACCTTGTGGTCGTGGGTTCGAGCCCCACGGTGGGCGAAGGTAATTTTTTTCCCTTTTTCTTACCATATTTGATTCTGGCCTTTTTTAATAGTATAAATATAACAACGATAATTTATTATTTAGAAAAGGAACGTAATTTAGTGGAACGGTAGAGGTCGAGTCATGGGACTTTTTTAAAACCGTCGGAATAAGTCTTGGAAAGAACCGCTGGATTTTGGTCCTCTTTGCAAAGATTTTTTTTCCCAATGCTGTTCTGGTTTACTGATTTACTAGACTTTTTCTACCAAAAAAAAAAAAAAAAAACTGATTTGACAAATGAAATTAGGGATGAAAGAGATTGAATTCAAAAGTTGGGTCTTTACAGCAATTAGTCTTTATCAAATGTTTTTTATATATAAAAAAACGTTATTTATATATTATGTAGGAGAGGTTTTTCCCACTGCATTTGGAAGAGGAAGCTATTGGATTTTCAAACTTCTAATTTTCTAATATAGATACTTAGAAAAGTAATATATTGCAATTAGTGATGAGAGAATTTAAGTTCCTGGTTGGTTCTTTACACCAATTAGTTTTTTTCACCTTTGCAAATACTTTTCCAAAAGCTTTTTGGCCTAATGATTTACTAGAGTTATAGTTATTCTTTAAAGTTACCTTTATAAATGAAATTGGGGTCTTAGAGATGAGAGAATTTAAATTCATAGTTCACACCAATTAGTTTTTATCAAATGTTTTTCTGGTATAAAGGATTTACATAGATTCTTACCGGTCAGCAGACTATAAAAAAAAAACGATGATTTTTAATTTTTTTTGAAAAATAGAAAAAAAAAATTGTGTTTCTCTTTGTAAAAGAAAGTTTTAATGGTGGTCATATGACCCGTAAGCATTTAAGTATTTTTTCTTATATAAATTGTAGGATAGTTTTTCCCACCATTGAACTGGGGACACTTGGATTTTTAAATTTCTAAATATCTAATACAGGTATTTTGGAAAACAACGTAATAAAATGTTATAATTCTATAAACAACTATATTTTAAAAAAGTTTTGCAATTACTTTTTAGTTTGGCACTTTATGTTTCTGTCGTTGGATGGAATCGTGTATCATTATTTTTGTAATTCAAATTGGGTTGCTCAAGTTCATAGGGTTTGACTAATTAAAAAAATTTCTTAACCACAAATACTTATATATATTTTCTCATTTAGTTTCATTTAGCCCTATAATCTTTTAGGGTTAATTTAATCATCCATTAATATTTGAAAAATTAGAGTAAAATAGTTTGATATTATTTCTCCTAAATAACATACAACATATATTTACTATTTTTAATTCAATATAAAAAATACGCAAATCTTTAAAGATTATGGTGCATCGGAAAATCCATTCGACATATAACCAGTTTTATTTATTTAAGGGGAAAAGTAGTTCTATTTATTGAATTGGCCAGCATAAAAAACACGCACAATATTAAAACAGCCCAAATGGAATTTTGTAGAAGTGGAGACCATTTTTCGTATTTCCTTCCAAATTGATTCAAACCCAATATAAGTGAGGTTAGATTATGAATCTCTTCGTATGAATTTAGGATATAAACTTATTAACCCATGAAATGTCATTCAATAACTATTTTTTACAGATAATTTTTAAGCCTTGTTTGTTAAGAATTTTATTTTATTTTCTATTTTTAATAGTTATAAAAACATCGTATACATGGTTTTTTTTTTCTGGCTTTAGTTTTTCACATTTAAAATCTTAACCAAATTTCAAGAATATACAACATCCCTAGAAACCACTTTTTATAATCCTTGTTTTCGCAATTTTTGGTTTTTGGTTTTTTTTTAAATTATTTTGGTTTGCTTACTTTTAATTTTTGTTTTTGAAAATGTAAAAGCAAAACGTGTCTGATACTGTTTTCTACCACTTTTTTAAAAGTCTAAGATAGAGAATCAGACAGAAGTTTAAAGTTAATTAAAGATAAAGAAAGAGATTTAAAGTTAATGAAAGGTAGAGAATCTATGTTTGAGGGATAAAGGTATGGTGAGGAGAGACATACTTTTGCAAACATAAACCTACTTTAAAATTTTTAAGATTTCCTTATAATTTCAAAAATGATTTTCAAAACATTAAAATGAGAGTTGAATTTGTGCTCCAAAAATGAAAAATGAAAAACCAAAAACCTAGAAGAAGATAAGATGCTTGCTATACATCCGAATTTTATAAATTTAGCTGTGATTTCAAAAAATAATTCGAAAGTAGAATAACAAAAGAAAGAAGGGTTAGTAAACAAACTTTTTTAAAATAGGAAACAAAAAAACAAATACATCGGGTCTTAATATTTGGAGTATGCTCATTAAGAGAAAAAAATTATAAAAATAGATGTTCAATAAATTACCGTGTATAGAAACATAAAGACAGTGGATGATAAATGAATCTAGTGACTAAGCTCAAATTTATCTAACTAGATTTTTTTAAATTAAACAAATTCACAACTCAAAGGGTTGAAATGGGTGGTTTAATAACCATTTTGGTTAGGAGTGTTTGATAACTATTTTGCTTTTTATTTTCACTTTTAAAAAATATGCTTATTTTTGTACAAATTTATTGGTAAGTTTTCACCTTTTGAAAAATATATTTGAATTCTTAGCAAAAGTTTAAAACAAACAAGTTTTTTAAAACTATATAATTTTTTTTTCAAATTTGACCTAGATTTTGAAAATGTTTATAATAACTATATAACAAAACAAATGAACCAAATAAGTGAAAGTAATATTTCTAAGCTTAATTTTTGAAAACAGAAAATCAAAAAGAAATGTTTATCAAATGGAGTGTTTCACTCATGTGTTTCTTTATTTTGTTATCTTATTTTTAAAAAATGTTTTTAAAACTTAAGCCTAAATTTGAAAACTAAAAAAAAAAAAAACATTCTTAAACACTCGGTTTTTTTTTTCAAAACTTAGCTAAGATGTCGAATGTGTTCTTTAAGAAAGGTGAAAAACACACTTTAAAGAATAAGAAAGGTGAAAAACACACTTAAAAAGTTAAAGTGGAAAGAGACATGCATAGTTTTTAAAAATTAAAAATTAAAAACAAAATGATTTTCGTTCATATATTAGGCCCAAAGAAGCTCTTAGCTCAACCAAATCCAATGAATGCAAATGAAATACCTATTATAACACCATCAATTTTTATACAAATAAGACAAAAGTCATGTAGTTATGAAATTTGAAGAAGCGTKATGCCAAACTTAAAACCTCACCACTTAAAGTCGAAAAGACAGAATAAAAACAAAACAAAACCAAATCATCACTCCAATCACATAGGCATCATCAACTGTACCTCCCCGCAAACACTGGTAATTTAATAAATATCTCATTGCTAAATGCCAACATCTTTTTTTAACCATAAGGTAATTTAAAATCTAAAACTTATTCCTTTTCCCTCGTTTTACGTATTTAGAAAAAAAAAAAGTTTTAGTTTCAAAAAACATCTCTCGCTCATTCTCTGGCTGAAAACCGACTCATCAGTGTGTTACTAAAGACGCTCTAATGTCAAAGAGGTCGAATAATCTTACCTGTCAGATTCGGCAGCAGCTGTTGACGACAGTGACTTCCCACTTCCAGTATGAAATTAGATAACTTTGCAAGAAAATCACTTGATATGCCAAATCAGGAGCTCCCACCCAAAGTTACTTTTTATCTTTTAGCCCACAGATCCGTTTGCAAATTTAACTCAGTAACGGTGCTGCCCATAGCTTTACTTTCTTGTCCACACTCGCAGTAGCCAAAACCATTACCTTTTTATCTCCTATTTAAAAAGATATAAAGCGGCATTTATATAAACAGCATAGAATAAAATATATATTTTCAAACATAGTCGAAAGTTCAAAATTCTACAAAAGAGAAATAGTCTAATCTAAAATAATCTACAATGAACTCTAATATAAAGTAAAACACACCTACATGAGTTTTACATTTATGCTGTATAGTAATTTAGGATTCAGTAAAACAAGTTTTAAGTGTTTTGATATATTTGTTTAGTATCATATTTGACAATTAAATTTCAATTTAAAAAATTGTTCAATATATTTATAAACTAGTAATAGATACCAACTAAATATTTAGTTCAATCTAAAATAACATGGTAAAAATGTTGCTTTCATAATTTCCACTATTTAAAATTTAAATCACAGAATTCCCAATTTAAAAAAGAAAAAAAATCTGCCAAGAATTCAAAATTCAGATTGCCAACCAAATAGGCCCTTACATTTTCCAAAATAGGCAGTGGTATGACTAAACATGAATTTTTAAGTGGAAAAATATGTTATAGTTTTGTATATTTCAAATATGGTTAATATGTGTATGGAAGTACTGTTGGGAGTTGTAATTTATGTAGTTCAAGAAAGAAAAAAGAAATCTCTTTTTATTTGTCTTTTATCCTCGATTCTTTACTGTTATATTCCTATGATTTCAAATCAAGCTGAGATGAAGGTCAATAATACCTATGTAATAATTCTTTTTAACAAATAACATAATAAAATAATGTATTTTAATTTAAACATGTCATCACTCGTATAAACTTTTTTTTATATATAAGAAAAAAAAAGATATTATGTAGGCTATGAATGTAATATCATATTTTTAGTTTGTTATTTTGAAATTCTATCATTTTATGTACTTGATATTTCCATCTGTTAGTAGGGAAAGGAGATAATTAAGAAGGCAAAGGGAGAAGAGAAGAGTTTTTACCTGATGGAATAGCCTTAGGCGCCCACGATATCCATGTGATGTCACCTGCATAATCAGGAAGTGGAGTGGTCAGCTGAAATTTACAAGTTCCAAAGAAAATGAACTACGTTACTGTAAACAAAACTAATCCAATTCCTAAATTTCACTGAAATTCGACAAGGCTTTTACAAAATTTATGTACGGCATGAAATCAAAAGTTATATTTTATCAAAAATAAAATATGCTCAACATTATTGAACTGCACGTAACAGGCAGAATAATCTCATTGGAAGCCGAACTTTCATTGAGAAAGTTGAAAGAAACAAGGGCGTACGAAAAGCCAACCCCTCAACAGAAGTCCAAACAAACCAACGGACTTGAATCCAAAATAATAAAACCTTACTAATAAGTACAAAGCAGTTTGCTAACCGAGACCAATTAAGAGGTACCAAATCTAACGACCTCTCCCGCCTCTCTGTAGGATTAGCTTCACCACCCCTCTAAAAATTTTACCATAAACCCCCGAAATAAAACCATGATGTAGCTGACATTTACACCCTAATGAGATGTGATACTCGGCAATCATCATCCTTGTGTATTTAGAGAAGAATGAAAGAAACTATAGGAATTTCATTGAAAGGAAAAACGAGACAGTCATCAGACAACCATTCATAAAACTTGTCCAAATATACGAAAACAACCTAACAAAGCGACTGAAGATGTTGGAATAAGCAAACATGTGGCTTCGGATCCAATCAGTTTCTAGATCAGGTAATCAGCTTCCTAGTAAGGGAAGTTCAAACAAAACTTATAGGAAACTGACTGACCTGATTTAGATTCGTAATTGCTTATTGTAATCAAAAGTTTCACATTATGGGAAACTCTTCATACAATGTAGTTCTGTGAATTTTCTTAACGATTCTTAATACACATAGTAATAATATGGGACGACTGCATTTTAGGAGGTAATACTTTAAATGATATACTTCTCCAACCGGAAATTTTGATAAAGAAAAACTATATATATACTATGTGCTTCTTCCAAAAGGTGTATCTGAAATTTGTAAACCGAAGGTCTGTAATGTGTAGCTAAAACACTAAAAATTTTGAAAAGCGTTTCACAAATCAAAAGCACTATTGAAAAATGTTTCCGAACACAATACGAATCTTGTTTTACACACATACACATGAGAAGGGGAGAGAGAAATAATTCATCTTCTTTAACAATCAATATAATGTAGAGCCTAATAGCGGGGAAGAAAAAAAAATGGTAATAGTTTAGGCTTATACATACCATCATGAGCTTTCTCAGCTGTGTCTAGAACCTTTCCAGTTTCAACACATAACCACTGCAGTGTGGAACCATGCGTTGTTGCCAATATCTTTCCATCGGGAGATAGACTGAGACGATCATAATGCAACGTAGTACCATTTGAATCATGCAATGGAATGGGGAACACCTTGAGGGTTTTTGGATCCTCGTCGAGATGATACCGCACTTCAAAGAAGAAAGCAAACATAGATATAAAAAACATCAGTCACTTAAAGTCAACTTATCATCTGGGTTAACATGAGACATAAAGAAATCACAAATCATGAAGTTAAAGGTAAAAGAATGTGCAATGTTACAGCACCACGGCAATAAATTGAGCATGGAAATTACTTGATTGATAGTTGCTGAATTTGTATTTTAATTTCCTAGTCTTACTTGTTAGATGAGTGTTCTTTTTTCTTTTTTCATAGAAGCAGAGGACTTTCCATTTAAGAAGTGAAAAGTTACAACAGAAGGGACCAGCTCCAATTGACATGAATCATGAGAAGGGAATAGTTGCAGAGACCTTTTCAGAGACACCAACTACAGGTTATAAAACTAATTAGATGAGGAGATCAAACACGGGCGGGGGATCGAACCATCGATCTTAGGGTGGGCAACATATACTACAATATTTTATTCAATTACAGAAACCAACATTTGTGTATATATTAGCTCAATCATATGAAATTAAGAGAGATGACAAGGAGAATAAGGATAAATAACGACTAATCAAATGGCTGATTTCAACTAATTAAACTAGTTAATCTACAATACATGAACGGGTGTTTTACAAATGGGAAATACCGACTAGCTAGCTTTACATACCATTGATGTTCCAAATTCTCATTGAACCATCCTTTGATGCAGTAATGATTTGCTCTGAATTTGGGGTAAAACATAACCAAGTCACTGCACTCTAGACATAAGAAATAAAATGTTAAGTGAGAAGGAAATTAAAATCATCAAAAAGAAATTTCAGAAGCTGCAGATCCTAAAAGCGATAATGGTATTACTGGAAACCAAACTCAAACTCAAAGCATAGCAAGTGCCACAGAGTATCTTTAGTATCAACTCATGACAAGAAGATTTCATGTGAATTTCATGGTATTAAAGCTGCGAGTACTATCATTTTCAACAAGTCTAGGAGAAATTTTATGCAGCTAAATGGGAAGAATAAGAGTAATAAAACAAGAGCGGAAGTGTAACATTGAAAACAGATAGACAGTCATATAATGTTTTCTATTAGATCTAACCAAATCACATCTCATAAATTTCAAAAACTATCTAAAGAACAACCTTGTGTCCTTTCAGCTGCATGACCCTTAAAACCTCCTTAACTGAACCATCTTTTGAGTAGACGATCTCCCATACCTGCCAAAAACAACATATTAATGAGAAACATCAACGAGTAGTCTTATTGATCGAAGATATACGTAAAATCAGGTATTTGTAAGACAATGCCAACATTGTGGTAATAATTTCTTTTCACAATTACATTGAAATGACTACAAGAAATAAAATTATGTATCATGAGCTAGAATGATTCTTGAAGCAAATGTTATTCACATTCACTTGTATATCCTTTGTATGGAGATAAGAACATGTAATACTATTTTAGTACACATAAATGATCTCATGTCACAAAGAAATGTATCTCAAAGCGATGCTTAAAACATGCCCTACATGCTAATGTTTTGCCTTCAAAGGTATTGTACAATTATTCACTTAGGGACCATGACTAAAATATAAAATTGCAGATAAATCTAGAGAAAAGGAAATTCTCAGTATTAAATATGTAATTGCCAGATCAACTCACCTTCACGTCTGCAGTAAAAGCAGCTGCCGCAATAAAACGTCCATTTGGTGACAAAGTAGCCATGGTATTTTTCAATTGATTAGTGTCAACATCACCCACAAGCTTTCCCGTTTTTGCATGCCAGAGTCTAATATCAGTCTCTATAAAACATTTTTCTTATATTAGTAAAGAACTTCTACGTAAGAAATAACTATGATAAAGAAATGCAGTAAACTATTGATTAGATTCCTCTACACATACAAGATATCAAAAAGCTACTTTCAGCAACCAATTTAACATTTCCAATCATTTGGTCATGATTTAGCACATAGGCAGAATAATGTTTTTTTAGAGATTTTATTAATACTCATGGATACCATTGCAAGTTTGAAATAGCCCTCAGATGTCCCAGAATTCATTGTCTGACAAGGAGCACATTCAACACGGTAACAATGTATTGACAAACTTCGAAAGAACCACAACCATGATGTAGTTTTTAAATCTCCAAAAAGAAGAGTTTAAGCAAATGATAGAGTCTGATAAAAGAAAGTATAACATTGTTCATGTGCCAAGTGCTTGGTTGTTGCATGGTAAATGTTAACGTACCTTCTGAACATGAAGCCACAATCGTACTCCCATCGGCACTGCCATAACTAGCAGTTGCACCTACTAAGGTCAGAACAGATTTTTTATCATGCACCTTATGCTGTTCCCACTTGATTTCAGGGAGAGGGAGCTTGGGTTGCTGCTTAGTTTCACCCGAAGCTTTGGGTTTTTCTTCTCCATACATGTACAAAGAAGAACCAGCAAGACCTTGAGAGGCTACAATGACTGAGGTTGCATCGTCAGCAAATGCAACTGCAATTGGATGACCTCCAGCAGGCAAATTAATTCGCAAGAACCTGCAGAAATATTAACGATGACTAAATAATGTGCGAAAAATCAAAATATGCATTATTAGCACTCAGATGATATACACATATGATTCACATTTGAAATATGGATTTACATACTTGAAACTTTTACTTGATGCATCATCCAGCTTGAATACTCTGATCACTCCATCACCACAGGCTGTTATAGCAATATATAAGACAATATCAGAGAATGGGAGATAGAAAAAAGATTCTTCAACATTTTATATTGAAATGAAGCATTGATCAATAAACAACGTATGTTAACTATGATAAAACTGTGAAATAGATAAATATTTTCATCTCAGTAAGTGCTGAATAAATTATATTTTCTACTTCCAGAAGCTAAAACTCCAATAGATATTAGATTTAGATGCCATGGTTTAGAAATGAATTCCCACACTTATTATTTCCAAGTAGAGCAATAAGAAAAGGGGACAGAATATATTAACACCTAAAACTTTGTCTACAGAAAACAAAACCAATGTACAAAAAATGACAACGGTAATCATTCGTGTGCAAAATAACCAGAAATAGATCTGCAGTTCTTTTCATATCTGAAAACATATTGGAAATTAACTCTCTGAATTTAAGTATTAAGACGTAATAGCATGGGAAGTTTTGTTGATAACAAGTGAGAGATGCATATTTGCCATGAAGTGGAGAAAAAGCATCAAACCAGTACAGCATGAAATATGACTTGAGTACAAATGTTCAGTTCTATATACATGAATCATGGATGAACCAACAAAAACCACTAAAATCCAAACACGGATCAGGAGAACAGAGAATTATGTAGAACACGTTACTTAGTACATAAGTAGGATGAGAAGCAAATGAAATCACCAACAGTTAAGAAAATGCGTTTAGTATTGAGAACACCTATCTAATCAAATGAAACACGTTCAATCCAGTGAACGAACTAGAAAAGGATACATATGCAAACAAAACTTAATATATTTAACTTGACTAAAGATCTGCATGGAAATAATTTTTTACTGAAGACATTGCAACTGAATTTTGAGCCATAACCGTAAAACGGAGCCAGGGTACAACATTCACATTCGTGGCTTTCACTTTCCATCTCATAGCATAATAACGATGGCAGCAAAAAAGATCGTTTGATATAGCACGTTACCGGTCGCTAAACTACTTCCATCCGAGGAGAAGCATAATCCAGTCACAGAATCTCCATGTCCTTTCAATGTGTTCAAATCCAACGGATGATGTTTCTTGTTTTGATCCTACATTCGACAAACAAAAAAGGAAAGGCTGAGCATAGGAGAATTATCAAAGCTGTCCAATGCATCATGCATATAACATATGGAGTTGCAACATTATAATTCGAACACAACATTATTCTCTTCAGCTGGCATTAGATTCAAGAAGAGAAAATGCTGGCCGTAAGTACACTTTTAAAAATTGAGCTCAATGCAGTATGAAGATCGAGATAGTTCATATGACTCTAGCAATGAATTTTTACTGAAATGTTAGCAGAATATCGCGACGATTCTCGCATATTTCGTTAGACAAAGAAGATGTGACTCGAGAAAATAATTAAACGACGATCATTTGACATAATCCGCGTGCGTCCAGCTGAGAATTAACCAAAAGTAAACGATGATTGATAGAGAATTCAAAATTAAGCACATTCGTGATACGAACGATGATCGATAGAGAATTCAAATTTTCATTCCAGCGTACTTGCTGTTCCGAAACTTAGCATCCGAAGAAGTAGCCAGACCTAGATAATCTAACACGAAATTTTGTGCACTGAACAATACAGAACAAAATTGCGAGAGTTTCGTTCTCGTTTCGTGCAGTTTCTCAGGAAACAGACGAACCTTATCGGAGGAATGAGAGTGAGACTTGGAGTGAGGCTTCTTAGTCTGAGGTGGCTTCTGTTGCTTCTTCGGATCCGATGGAAGCTCTGGATGCGAAATGGTTTGGACTTCGGATCTTCGCTTGCGGAAGTAGCTGCCGAAGAAAACAATGGCAATTAGGGCACCGATGATCACCGAAACAACCGGAATTATCAGAGCAGAATCCATTGGTGAAATGCAGAGAAGTAGCAACGAAGACGAAGAATTTGATGATGGACTTCGAGAGAAATGACGCTGAGAGGAAGACGGGATATAAATAGGGGGAAGAAAAGATTATTCGAGAACAAAATTTATATATATAAATATATTTTATAAAACAAATTATATAATTTTCATAAAAAAGCTTCAAAAAAAGTAAAACATAACAAAAGAAGACAGAAATAGCAGTGGTTGTTTTTATGTACTATTTTTGTTTATTATGTTTTAAATAAAATTTGATCTAAATATGTAGTGCTGTAATTATTATTAATATAAAAGAAGAGAAAAATATATATACAAGTAATGAAACATGTTTAAATTATAAAACAGAACAATTTTAGAAAATCGATTTGTAAAATAACTTTAAAAATAAATCCACCAAACTCATAATACCAATTTCTATAAATATATAAGCATATTTGAGTTATAAATTTTTATGGTATTGTTTAAGAAATTAAATCCGTTTATATGATTATATCTTGTATTTGATAATTTAATGTTTTTCATCTCATTGATTATACAACCTTTTTATCTCAATGTTCAGTATAGAATGTATTATTTAAAATAAAGTGTTAGATAAATTAAGACAGATAAATGTATATAGTAGTGTTTCTTTTTTTTATAGGATCCAATTGCTGTGAACAACATAAAATTCTCATTTAGACTCTTCGTAGTGAAATATAGGAGATATTTTATCCCCATCACCTAAATAGGATGGAGATGAAGATCAGAGACGGAGAAGATGTCTCTTACCCAGCCTAGCTATCAATCCTTCCTACCTTCTTCCCTTCCTCTACCTCTCAAAATTTCCTTCCTCTCTCCCTTCAGCCCGTCCCGCCTCACCTTGATAGTACTCCTATAGTCCTACTACAAATTTAACATCTTTTCGATTTTCTAAATAATAGAAAAATATAAATTTTTTTTATGCATTTCTCTCTTCTACCCATCAAATTTTTAGAAATTGTTAGAGTATTGTTCCTATAATTTTATTATATCTCACAAATATTCTTTAAAATATTTGTTTTACCTATAAAGATTTGTTTCACATATATGCCAAAGCAGGCATATTTTAACAGTAATTGGCATATCCCTACAACAAGAGGTTGTAAGTTCGAATTCCCTCCCTAACATTTTGTACTATAAAAAAAAGATCTCACAAAGTCGGTCAAATAGAAAGCACAAATTCACGGTTAAGTAAATATGAAGGGTGAAACAAAGATGATGTGTGAGATTTGATCATCCATATAGATTAAAATAGCTCAAGTTATCGATAGTTTCGTAGTTCAATATCTAGTTTAGGTACATGAACTATTGAATTTTTAGGTTTGAATTATTTTTTTTATCTTTTAACTTAAAAAATTTATATGTTTATTCCATAAACCTTTAAAAAAAACAATATTTATATTTGTATCCTAAGTGTAAAAGACAAAAAATATATATATTTCTCTATTATAATTTATTCATTTCTAATATATGCTTAGCTAAAACTTACCTCAATTAACTTACATGACACACCATGAATTCGTACATTGATACCTTTCTCTCGTAATTACATTATTCACATGTCTTACAAAATAAAAAGCATTTAAAGTGAGTAAACAAAATTCAATAATCAGTCTCATAGTTACATATAAAATTTTATGGAAAGCCGTATAACGTATTCGGTGAAAGTAGTATGTACGGCTTGAAGGGCTTTCATATCTTCCAACATCACCCTATAATATGGGGTCAAAAAGCCAAAACCAATAGGTATCATTTTATTTATGGTTTCTTTAAGCGTTACAATCTATAGATTCTCGTCCTTATTTGGTAACATATTTTTCATGATCAATAAATCACATAACATATAATAATAGTTCTCTATGGACCCATTCTTTTAAAAACTACTTCTTTTTATGTATATTGTATCGAGCCTAACTCAACAAATGAGACGCTTTATTATCATCCCTCTTATTTAAGGTTTAATTTATTTATATTCATAAATAATCTATTTTCAAAAGATTTTAAAAAATATATAAATATATACATTATACAGCATATAAGAGATTGAGATTCAAATTTACTAACTATAAGGAAGAAACATTAATATTTAATTAACTGATTCTACTCGAGTTAGTATAATTATCATGACACAAAAATAAGAAAATAGTATTTTTTTTTAGTTGTACAACAGCATCGATTGTTTTTAAATCATCCCATCTCGAATCTTAAAAACAATGTTATAAATAGAAATATAAAACCATTTTAAAGAATAGCCATCAAATCAAGTCACATATTTGTTTTACACGGTCCAAACTTTAATATATAATAAGAAATAAGTAATACTTGGCATAGCTTATTATATAATAAATACAAATTAGCGATGCATTGAATTTGGGAAACCAATGAGGGAGACCCTTTGAATCAAATAATGTATTTATTCATATTTTCTTTAATTGTTTATTAAGATTGAAGGATGTTGACCATTATTCTATCAAAATAACGTGTTTGGCACGAAATATGGATTTTTTATTTTTTATTTTTTATCTTTTTAGGATTGAAATGTTTTGTAATTTACGAATGAATAGAAAAATACTAATATTTATTGGTAAACTTTCAATTTTTATGTAAACCCCACCAACTAAAACATGTTTGAAAGTTTATAGACTAGGATATAATAAATCTAAAATATGAGATCTAATCCAACATGTTAAACCAATACTTTTATAAAAATAAAAATAAATATTATCAGATAAAAAATGAACACGTCAAAAGGCCAGTCAAGTCACAAGGGCCTAGTCGAGAAATTACCAACCTAGCACGAGCTAGCACATTAGAAAGAATCTGAACACACCGACGACAACAAAGTCGAGGTGCTCCTAAAAATTATGTACAATAGACAATGATATCTTATTAGTGGAGACCAAGACGCACATGACATTTATGTATACTTCATCCATACAATTGACATCAACAATAAATATAAAAAGATATAAAAAAGTAAAGTTATAATTTATTATAGTTATTCACAAGTTTCATTTGTCAAGGAGGAATAACCATATATATATTATAAATTTTTGTTAGGTCAATTATCTGCGCACGTTTTAAATTTGTGAATATTACGAAACACAATTATTTGAATTTTTTAACTAGAATTAGGGAATAAAAAATAATTTGACAAAACTTCATATTATATTTTAGGATTTGAAAGAAAAAATAGATTGCTGTCTGAGATTTATTTATTATTTTTGAAACATTTTGTGAGATTTGTTCTAACTTCTACCTTTCTAGATATGAAGATAATGTAATGTTTGAACGTAATGAATGACCTAACAGCTGATCTTCGTTATTCCATTCCACCTACTCTTTTAATAGAAAAATAAAAAATAAAAAAGCAAGAAATAAAATTAAAAAAGAAAAAGAAAAAATAAATAAAAATTTAATTTTTCGCCGTGGAATCCAGACCCCATCCCATCTTCTCCTGGCCGATACGCTAAATTCGATCTCGTCGCTCTTAAATTTGCAGTCTCCGGGAAAGCGAAACACTGAAAACAACACGAAAATCTTTGGGTTTCCCACTGACTTTCGTTTTCGTTTTCCGTTCTGTTTTTGTTTTTCCTCCGAACTGGAGGAGCCCAGCTGATTCTCCAGATTTCCCAGATCACGACGAGGGCTCCGTCGGAAGTCGCCGCCGGAACCGGAGGCGTTTCGGCTTCGAGAAATTATCCGGCGAGTTATTTCGGTTATTCCTCCGAGTTATGCATAGATCTGGGCCGGCGATGGCTTGGAATGTCTTCAAGTTTTGTACGGCCTTGCGAGGTCTCGGTTCGATCATGATCCTTCTGGTTCTTGGGGTTGTCGGCGTCACGTATTACGCCGTCGTTTTGACGAACTACGGCCCCGCCCTCTACGACGGCGGCCTCGATTCTCTCATTGCGCTTGCCGTTTTGATCTCCTTCCATGGTTTGGTAAGCTGCGATCGTTTGGCTTTAATTTCGCCTTTTTAAGCATTTGATTCGTATTTCTTTATTTGGAATTTGTTATTGCCTGATTGTTGTTCTTGTGCTACTATATAAATGACATAGCGCTTTGTTTCGCTTGGTTTCTGTCGTTTTTTTCACTTTAATATTCTCTGTTGGACTAAATGTTACAGTCAATTTGTCTTTATTTATCTCCAAATTCTATTCGTTAAATATTTGATAAAGTAGAGTGTTATTTGTGGGGTAAAGATCGTCATTCTATATATACAATTGCTTGTTCCTGTGGAAATTCAGGAACAACTTTTGCTCTCATAAATTTCTGAAAAGGTTTCATTTCACTCTCCTATCTCTCTCTTCATTTGATTTGATATTGGGTTCTGTGGATTGAAATGTTGAGAAATAGTGAAGGGGTTAGGTTAGAAGTTGTTTGAATTTTTGTATTTGGTTGAGGATTTAGAGTTCAGAAAATGAAAAAAACAAGTTGTTTGATGCTATGCAGTTGGTGATGCTGTTATGGAGTTACTTTTCTGTTGTTTTGACTGACCCGGGTTGTGTGCCACCGAATTGGAGACCCGCTGTCGATGAAGAAAGGGCGGAAGGCGACCCGTTGAATACAATGGAGTTTAGTATTTTGCATCCCGAGCAATCAAGTCAAAGGATACGGTATTGTCGAAAATGCAATCAGCTGAAACCACCTCGCTGCCATCATTGTTCTGTTTGTGAGTAGCTGCACTTGTTGGTCACTTCGGATATTCCTGTTAAATAATCGTCGAATCTTCTGTTGTCTCCTTCTTGGCTGCGTAATTTACATTTTTGCCTGAAATTTTTTCCTTTTTCAGGTGGGCGATGTGTGCTGAAGATGGACCATCACTGCGTGTGGGTCGTCAATTGTGTTGGAGCACTGAATTACAAGTACTTCCTTTTGTTTCTGGTATGTTTTCTCTTACTTTGAATTAAAGATGTTCTTTTACATTTTTTGTCATTTAGTTAGTGTTTTTCCATCATTAACTTATTAAAGATAATTGGATACATGCCTTTATCTAAGCATTTTATTAGTGAAATATAGGACTATAAATGCTAGAAAATGGCAATTGGCTCGAGTGAAATAGGAGTGTAGTTATTGATGGGAACACGAAAGACAATCGTGTTGTTGACCTTTTACTCCTGTTTTCCTCACTTTAAATACTTGATTTACCCGTTGTACGGAGAACCAGGCGCTTTAGAGGATTTCATACCTGTTGGCTTATCGTGTCGTTTTTGTTTATTTGATTTGATCAGTTGCATCACTGTCATGGAATTAATGAAGCATAAGTTGTTTATCTTTGACTAAATTATAATCATGGTGGAGTTTTGATCTAACAACTGTATTTCTTCTCTTACAATGAAATGTTGTTGAAATTTCTCAGAGATCATGATTTTACTATTTTTAAGCATATCGAAAATAGAGAAGGAGAATCTTCTGTTTTCCATTAGCGTGACTGCTCTGCTCGAATTCTCTTGATTCTCCAAAAGAAGGAATTGTTAAATTATCAATTATTGTTTGTTGATCCCTTCTTCTATTCTGGTGCAGCTGTACACATTTCTAGAGACAAGTCTCGTGACTTTGTCGTTGCTACCGCATTTTGTCGCATTCTTTAGTGAAGGAGAGATACCCGGAACACCTAGTACCCTTGCTACAACCTTTATTGCCTTCGGTAAGCTTAATGAGCATTCCTTTTAGCCTTTCAACTAGTAGCTTTAATGAGTTTCTGACTATTGCTTCTTCACTCAGTCTTGAATCTGGCATTTGCGTTGAGTGTTATGGGGTTCCTGATCATGCACATATCTCTGGTGGCTGCAAATACTACAACAATTGAGGTATCATCTGTCATAAATTTAGTTTGGGACTATAAAAATATCTGAAAACCGAGATGTCGTTCTGGAGCTGTTTTGGGAAACAAGATTTTGCTTTTGTTTCCAAATCTGGTTTGACATCACCATTTACGTGCCTGATTTTTCAGATGAAATTTCGGGATCACGAGAACAATAGGGATAGTTGAGTTGAGCTACTAAATTTTTTCTTAACATGTTGGTTGGAAGGAACTAAAATGCTGAACTCTCGAAATCAAAAAGATTTGAACACTTAAAAATACTTACGAAATCTCGTTTCTCCAGGCTTATGAGAAGAAAACAACTCCTAAATGGCGGTACGACCTGGGTCGGAGGAAAAACTTTGAACAGGTTTGTCAAATAACGAATGGAAATTTTGTTTCCATACTGTTCTCGTCTGAAGAATCAAATATCGAATCTATTACAAAATTCGTATTGTTAAAATTTCTTACATTACCTCGCTAGCAATTTGATGTTCTGCAACTGCATAACATAGGTGTTCGGAATGGACAAGCGTTACTGGTTGATCCCAGCTTATTCAGAAGAAGATTTGCGACGAATGCCAGTGCTTCAAGGTCTCGAATACCCATCGAAGCCCGAGTTAGAATCTCAAGAGTTCTAGGAAGCCCTCAAGTGAACCTGCATAACTTCGTCGTCGTGTAAGGGAAATATGGACTCCCCAACCAAACCAAACACGATCCTCGGCCATCTCTCTGAAATAACATCTTGATCTTACTGCTAATTCTAGCTCAACTGCATGCGTTCCTACTGGCCTATAAAGCGAGCGAGAGAAGGAAAGGGGCGTCATACAATGAAGCAGATCGGGGAGTGGATTATCAATGGGTTTTAAGGTAGTAGGGTTAGCTTGAGTTCATTACTTGTTCTAAAATAACATATTTTCGGAACGGTCGAGAACCTCGGGATATCAATGGGGTAAATGGCAATGTTTTCAAAGTGTGTAAGCTGCGTTTCCCTGTAACCCTTTGTTTCTAAGTTGATGATACCACAGGTGACGGGCAACCTCTGAGCCAGCCTTCTCTTGTTCTGCTTTTTTATTCCTCATCAAATTATATGCTTAATGTGCAGTTTCTGCCTTTGTAAACAGTTTCTTTTCGATCGGATTTTGGCCAAAATCGATGTCGAGTTGATATGACTTCTCGATATCGAGATCAAATTTCTTGAAAACTTTACTGAATTGAAGTGACAATTTTTGAACAGACAAAACTGACCACTCCATTCCCTGGGGAAGTTGGGTATTCATTGGGCTAATCTGGATATTTTACCTATTTTCGGAACTGAAACGAAGATTCAAGGATTTTCTCTAACTTAGTCAAGTCTGGGCTCTCGAACAAAATCATCAAAATCTATTGCAAATGAATTGATTGATGGGTATGTTTAAACAAATTTAGTCAATTTTCAATTTTAAAATTTTAATATCATCAAAAGACTAACTGTACTGGATTGGGGTTCTAGAGTTTATCTTCATTTTCCATATATACCCCCGGACGGGAGCGCTATCGTATTAATTTGCCCCTCTAAAATAGCTTCCCGTAGGATGGAAATTATAAATATAAAAGGAGAAAAAAACCTGTAATTTTCGAACTGCCTCCTATTTCACCCATTAATTTCAAACAATCAATTAGTGGATCCGATTTAAAACACATGTTAAATATTTGTAAAGGAAGAGATAAATTTGATATTGGAAAGGTCAAAGCAATTGGCATAAAAAAAATTTGATGTTGGAAAGTCTAAATTTTTATGACCAATTTTCGAATTATGAAAAATGATGAATTACATCAACTTAAAAGTTGTGTAGTCTTTATTTAAATTGTGCAAAATAATCGGTTACAGAGACTCAAATTTTAGTATATAGTATGAATGATGAGTTCTATAAACTCTCCAGTTACTCCCGTTACTCTTGGGATGTAGTACTTCAATTAGTAAATTCATAAACCAAGACAAATAAGCTCTTGTATGAAATATAAACTCGCCTCACAAAACATAGAACAATCACTTAAAATAAAAGCCTTAATAAAGAGTATAGTAGCAAATATGAACATAGTTCAGCGGTTAAAATATCTTGTTCATTCCTTAAGGTCGAAAGTTCAATCCTTATTCTCTTGCTGTAGTTAAAAAAAAAAACAAAATAATAATAATAATAATAAATGCAGGAGTAGTCTAAGAATATATAAATAAAATGATAAAATGGTAAAATTTTTATGGCCAAATGAGTTGCTATTAGTATGTTAGAAAAAATTTGAAATAAATATATCATACTCACCTAAGATGTTAATAATTTTTAGGTTAATATATTATGAGGTTCGAAATATGTGTCCATCTATGCATTTTAAAAGGAACCCTTTTAAATTCTGAAATTTATAAAATAATTATAAATAGTCCTTAAATATAGTAAATTACGGATCGTATATTACTAATTTAAAATATATATATATATATATATATATTTTATTATGATTGGAATTTTCATTTCTTTCCCTGTTATCATTCCTCTCTTTCTCATTCCTCTCCTTTTTCGGCGAAATAGCGAACTTCGCCGCAGCTCGTAAAAAGAGATAAGTCATAATAATTTTTATAACTGGAGACAAATGCTAATTGTTTGCATTTCAAAATTGTGAATACGTGTAATTTACATTTATGTACATTCTTTATTTAATAAAAGAAAAAAAAAAGCGAAAAAAAAAGTATCTCTATCCGTCTCCGTCTCCACCACGCTTCGATCTCTTGGCCGTCAAGAAATTCACTGGCGAAACACGTGTTCCTCTCCGGACCGTTTATCAAGCCTTTTGATCC